GGACAACACGCTCTACTATTTTGGCAAGGACAGGAACAATGGATATAGGTCGAAAATTGGATGGGATGGAAGGGTCGCCTGAGTGACGTCTGAATGTGGCATACGTCGAATCGCGATTCTGGCCTGACATGGTCTCGACAAACAGGTTACAGGTCAAGGGTTATTAGTGGCAGGGCCATGAAATTTTCAGGAAATGTGTAGAATTGATAATCGACGGAAATTTACGTTTTTGTTTCAGGTATAAGACGAAAACTTTCCTTTTATTACGAACAGTTTGCTTTAAAGTGCACAGCAACGCGTAAGAAATACAAATCCGATCAGTTTTTGGAATTTGGAGGGACTTCTTTGAGTGTATGCACTTCCCGCAGCGTCGCCTTTCTGGATCCGCAGTGCCTGACCCATGTTTTTATATTAGTTTGTTGCCCCCCTCACATTGCCCTACTAGGCGATTACAAAAATCGAAAATACAAACCTCCAGCCTCAATGCTACCTAGCACAAAATTTTGCGCTGAACTTGAGTCCTTTCTTAGCATTCTTACCTTTCGACCTTTCGAGGTCAACATACGTATGTTTCGATGCGGATCGACGAGAGGATCACGATGGTGCTATTAGTTTGTTCCTAGCTGGGATACCTTGAAAGTTATTCGAGAAAAACTTCATATATATGTATAGTGCCGCTTTTTTGACTTCCTTTAAGCTCCTGTGACGTCATCTTTGACCTGACCTGAAAATGACCTCAGTAAAAATTATAGACCTTATCCGTGTGTACCCTTTACCGTTTACCGCTTGTCGCTATCTTGCTTTATTCTCGAGATCTCGCTGTCGCTCCCGCTCGTAATAATGGACATGTCATAAAAATGACCTGACCTGAGGTCAACGCAGGGCGATAACCACTTTTTTATTATTGCATATGAATGACAATCGATAAGGCTTTAATCGTCATCAGACAAAATTGCAACTTTCAGTGGGGAAAATATCAAGGTCACTCTTCGAAAAATAGGACAAAAGGTCACGTGATCAAACTTTTCAAAAATTGAAAATCTGAGAAAGCCAAAATGTTTGTTGGTTGATTGTGAGTTGAATCATATGAAGTTTTATCGTAAAAAACTAATAGTTTCTGAGTTATAGGCCGCCAAACATAGGGCTGCAGCGCGAACTCCAAGAATTGCCCGAGGCTATATCTCGGAAACCGTTGTTCGAAGAAAAAAATCCTTGCCACAGCTGGCTTCCCCGCCCATCACAACCCATTAGACCAATTTAAAGCAAAAAATAAAATATGAGGGTGCAGGGCACTTGTCGATTTGTCGTGGAACGCCCCATACGTCGAATCGCGATTCTGGCCTGACATGGTCTCGACAAACAGGTTACAGGTCAAGGGTAATGAGTGGCAGGGCCATGAAATTTTCAGGAAATGTGTAGAATTGATTATCTCGAAATTACTTAAAGTTTTGCCCCGATGGACCACTTTTTACACGAATTATTAGCGAAAAATGAGGGGTGGGTCTATCCGACCCCCTAATAAGTGCGAGGGTTTATCTCTCCCAAACACCGGAAACAAACAGCTTCTCTCATTCAATAGCTCTGCGATATTCTTATTTGACCGAAACAAAGTTTCTTCTAAAACAATGAACACGCTTACCCGAAAGAATAGTCATGCCTCTCCGTGTTAAGCGTTTGATTGATTGAGGGGACGACCCACCGAAACGCTTCCTTTTCCAAGGGATGAACTTTGTCCCTTTGGGGTCCGGGTGTCTGTCGGCGTTCGATTATAAGTTCGATGTCTGACCTCCTCGTCTTAGGCGAATCTGAAATGTTCTCAGTAGACCGAAAGAATCTCTAAAAAATTAATTGTTTTCAAAATGGGCTTCGCTGAGGAAAACTAAATAAACCAAATATTTCGGCTTTATTGATCAGCCTTGTTCACTGGTTTGAAGTCAGCGAACTCAGCGAAGCCCGTTTTGAAAACAATTAACTTTTTAGAGATTTATTAACCTGAGGAAAAGAATAATGACGCTTCGGCAACAGACCGAAAGAACTCAACCCAAGATACTCTCAGACGCCGACGGGGCCCTCAAGAGTACACGGTGTGGGATCTAATCGGAGTTGCGCCGATGGCTGGCCGTCTACTGATGTGTATGGTCCTCAGACGCCGGTGGGGCCCTCAGAATCACTGGTGTATATGTAGAGCCGACCCAGGGCCGCCGGTATGGGACCTTAAGAGGTACTGGCGTGGGACCCTCAAATGTATCGGTGTGTGGCCCTCAGAGGCACTGGTGCAGGAACCACAAAGGAGCCGGTGTGGACCCTCAGAGGTGCTGGTGTGAGGCCGTCACATGGACGCCGTTGTGGTGATCTTTCAGACAATGGTGTGGCGCTGAGCCCACAACCAACCCTCACAGATGACTGTGTGTGGGGCCCTTGGAGCTGTTGATGCGAATGCTTAATAACCCAGTAGGGCCTCTCAGAGAACGGCAAAGGGCCCTCAGAGGCCGGTAACTGGCCATATGATGCCAACAACGGGTCTTCACAGGCCGGCAAGTGAGGGCCGGCACTATCTTCAGGAGCCCTGTGGAGTCCTTAGAGATCGGCATGGGACTCTCATACGCGCGCGCTCTGACTTCGGCCAAGAAAAATGCGTCAGCTGATCATTGTCATTTCTGCCACTTGCGTGTGGTGAAATGGGGTCATACTTAAGAGACGGCTTTTTCATATCAATTATTTTACATAAAATCATATTTCAAACCATAAATAATGTTCGACAGCCAAATAAAAGAAACAATACCAATACAGGCTTACAGTTTAACCCTATTAGTGGCAGGCTCCTGGCTACCCCATATTAGTGGCAGGGGGGGGGCTGTTTACGACCCCCCCCCCCCCTTGATATCTCGAGATCTAACGGGCCGATTTTCAAAATTCAAACGGCATTCGATTTCGCTCAACGTGATCTACATTTCTAAAAAAAATAAAAATTAAAAAATGTCAATAGGGGGGGGGGGGTAGAGGCGGGTAAAAACGGGCAAATTGCAGATACATTTTAGACTGTTTATCACGGCCAGGTTTCTGAACCAATCTTAACGCAACTTTTGCCGATCGATAGAGAATGAACCAGGAATTCACATGGATCCTAAAAATATGCATTTTCAAAAATCATAGGCGGATACAGATCATTGAGATTGGGGGTACACAAAAAGTATAGTAAATAAGGTTTTTGTTGGTACTGTTTCTAAAAAGGGTGGTAATGGTCTTGTTATGTTACAATTTTCTTATGAGAGAACGACTACAATTGTATTGGTCATGCATAGGCGGTGTCAGGGTACCTTTGTTGGGAGGTAAAACATAACCCCCCTTTTTGGACGCCTGGATCCGCCTATTATAGCAAAAACGTGTCAAAAGAGGATGCACAATAACTGTATATGTTATCACATGATACCTTTCATTCACTGTTCGTAAAACTGGTGCAGCATCGTGATCTTCGCCCAAATGACTCGCTTCACGAATAGGACCCCCCAATTCCCAGTGCTCTGGAGCCGCCCCTGGTAAAGTTATGAACTTGAAATTTTCAGGGAATGTGCCCAATTTAGTTTTAGGAAAAGTCAGAAAATTTCAGCATCGTAGCTTTAGCGGTTTCGGAGATATTCCCGAAAAACCTGAGGGGTGGATAAAAACAACCCCCCTGCCACTAATAGGGTTAAGGCTCGACATTGTGTTGTCTACGATTAGACAGCTGATAACTCATTCCCGTACGTCGTAACTCTATAATGACCTTTGCTTATTGTCACATGTGCGCCGCATTCGCGATTGTTGCTGACGCCTGTTTGCAGGTCAGCCCACTACAGTTGTTATACATATCGAAAAACCGATAAACTTTTAGGCGAAAAAGGCACTATTCCAGGCCCATTTTTGATTTTTTTGCGATATTAGGTAAAAACAGAAGCTTCTTATCCTAGGAAAAATAAAATGGGAAATCTTTCAAAGGTGGCACACTACCTTTAAAAGAAAGCACAAATCTCATATCTTTACAATTCGGGCATATTTCCTTAAAAATTGTCATGACCTCGAGATGACCTCAGGTCAACCGAATTTGAAAAAAACTGGGATGCATATGATGCCACTTGGTGACCTAAGCATATCCGACAAGTTTGAATCAAATCGATGAAGAACTCTAGTTCCCATTAACAAAATAGTGCACTTCTAGTGCCGTTTTGACTATGTACCGGTTTTTGTGACCTTGTGACTTGACCTCAGATCACTGAAATCTCTAACTCCCAGGTCATGTGTCAAATAGATGCCCCAAGTTGTGTCTGAAATTTGGTAGCGCTACGTGCCATAACACCCACGCTATCAACGAATAACTCCGTCATTCAGTTGCCGCTAAACTATAAGTCCAATTTTCCCCTGACCTTGTACCGGTTTTTGTGACCTGGTGACCTGACCTGAAAAGACTGGGACTTGAAATTTTCAGGATAGGTGCGGAAAGGTTGCCCCAGAGGGTATGTCAAATTTGGCGGCGTTACGCGCTGCCGTTTTTACGTTATTTGCGAAAAACCTTGGGGGGGGGGGGCGAGGGTTAATATATTTCGACTTGCACCTTCATCAGAATATGAGAACAATTCAACTAATAAACACAAACGTGTTCGGTCTTTAAGAGGAATGCATTTAGTTATTTGTTGGCTCCACCGATAACCTCATAACACAAATTAGAGCAGCTGTTTGTTTTCAGCGTTTGAGAGATAAAGTCTCGCACTTATTGGGGGTCGGATTGACCCACCCATCAGCCTTTCACAAATGACTCGCGTAAAAAGTGGCTTATCGTGACAAAACTATTGGTATTCCCAAAATAATCAATTTGACACTTTCGCTGAAAATTCTATGACCCTAGCCTCGCTAGCCTCTATGACCTTTGAACCTGTGGCCGATGTCTACCCATCGACAAGTTGTTTTAATCTGTTGAGATTGTCACTACAGATAGCCGATTGACTAACGCTTGTTTTTCTCCATAGGACATTGCATGAGTACTAAAATACAGAAACCAGTGATTCAAGGTCAGCGCATCAAGACCAGAAAAAGAGGTGAGGGCTATTTTCATACATTTTATATTTCCCTTTTAAATTGTGCATATTGCTTGAAACTGCTGATATGAAGAGGAAGGGGTATCACATGTTCTCTCTATTTGAATTGATCGTTTAAGTTACATGGAATAATTTGGAATATTGTAATTTGTAAATTAACTATTGCCTCGTATCTTTCTTGTCATTATCAATTATTTTATACAAGTTGTGTTTATTGCTGGTTATGGTTTGTTGGTGGCGCATTGTTACCGCATGCCCTGCTGTGCCGTCCTGTTCCATGCGACTGGCCAGATGAGAAGGTTAAGCACGACCCGGTGGCCTTCCGGGACAGCCTGCTGCGCGGCTTCGCCGAGTCCGGCGACGACCTAGACGCTCTCAGCAAGTACCTGGACACGGCCGGAAACAAGCTCGACTACAAACACTATGGCGAAACGCTGTTCGACGTGCTCATCGCGGGCGGCATTCTCGGTGGGTGAGCGGCTGGGCGGGCCGACCGGCCGAGAAGGCGCTGGGCGGGCGGACGGGCTGAGAAGGCGCTGGGCGGGCCGACCGGCTGAGAAGGCGCTGGGCGGGCCGACCGGCTGAGAAGGCGCTGGGCGGGCCGACCGGCTGGGAAGGCGCTGGGCTGGCGGACGGGCTGAGAAGGCGCTGGGCGGGCGGACCGGCTGAGAAGGCGCCGCCGCGCCGTGGTCCGTCCCAACGCCTGAATAGTGCACATCTAATAACAATGGGCTGGAAATTTCAACTTTGCATGCCCCTCAATCGAAAAATTGTCCATAGTTAATCAATCATAGTACTTGAGTCCATTGTCCTCGTTTTGGTGATTAAATAGCTTCTTAAAGTGCGCATACACAATGTTAGCCCGCGCTTCGGAGGTCTGGCAGGGTACAGCAAGATTACTTTGCTAATAAAGTTTAGTTCAGTAAAGGATTTTTATAGCCCAGATGACGTCACGTAATATAGTAGCGATATGGTAGCTATTTGTGAAGACATAAATGACTTGCGTGAGACATTCATAATACAAGCTATTTTTATGCTATAATAAGGTAAACACATGGATGAAGGATTCCTGGATAGGACACTCCCTATTCCCCAACACTAGCGCCGGCGACCAAGCGGCCGCCCTGGTGGCGGAGCGCCGAAACATCGGTGGCGAGTGCACTGGCGGCCGCCGCATCGGCATGCGTGCTAAAAACGCGGTAAGGGAAAGCGAAATTAGCGAGCTTTAGTTCATAAGACACGATTTCAGACTTCTTAAACATATTTTTAGTTTTTTTTTCTAATAATTATTATGGCTCCATTTAGTCACTATCACATACGGACAGGGGCGTAGCCAGGATTTCCTCTAGGAGGGGGCCAAACTTTACAGGGGCCCAAGGTAAACGCCCTCAAAATCCAAAAAGTCATCGGATTTCATCCACTATTTTTTGATGAGGGCCCAAATAAATAAATAAAAATTATTTTAAAAAATGAAAAAAAATGTTAGAACTGAGAGAACCGAAGGGCCCCTGCGAACACAATGGAAAGGGGCTCCGAGGGGCCCAGTGGCAAAACTTAAGGCCCGAAGGGCCCTTTTATAACCAATGAAGAGGGCCCAGAGGGGCCCTAGCGGCAAGGCCTCAGGCTTGAAGGGCTCCTGCGAACTCAATGGAGGGCCCCGAGGGGCCCAGTGGCAGGGCCTCAGGCCCAAATGGCCCTTCTACAACCAATGGAAAGGGCCCAGAGGGGCCCCAGTGGCAAGGTCTTAACTTCGCTTGACGGGCCCCTGATAACTTGACGAGGGCACTCTAAGCAACAGAAAAACCCTCTGAATACACGACAGGGCCCCTTGAGCGCATGGAGGGGCCCCTGATCGCTTCACGGGGCCCTCTAAGCCACAGAAAGGCTCTCTGAGCACACGACAGGGCCCTTAAGTGCATGAAGAGGCCCCTGAGCGCCTGACAGGGCCAGGCGCGTAGCCAGGATTTTCCTCAGGGGGGCCAATCAGACCGAAAGGGGTCCATGTGAGCGAAGGGGCCAACATTTTGTTAATTTCATGACGTAGTTATTTGCTTAACTACCTTAAAATTACGAAGGGCCCCTGCGAACCCAATGGAGAGGGCCCCGAGGGGCCCAGTGGCAAAGCCTCAGGCCCGAAGGGCCCTTTTATAACCAATGAAGAGAGCCCAGAGGGCCCTAGCGGCGAGGTCTCAGGCCCGAAAGGCCCCCGCGAACCCAGTGGAGTGCCCCGAGGGGCCCTTACGCTACTTTTATTGTGCCCCTTACCGTACGAAAGGCCCCCATCGCGGTGACACCGGGATGGGGCCCTTTTGGGCTCCAGGGGGGGGGGGGGGTCATGGCCCCTATGGCCCCCCCCCTTGGCTACGCCCCTGCATACGGAACCATTAGAGACGAATCACGATCCGCCCATAGCACGCAATGCTAAATGGCGCCTACGCCCTCGGCGTCGTGCGTGGTCGGAAAATCGGCGGAGTGTCCCATCCAGGAATACCTAATCCATGGTAAACACGTGCCACACTCTCGTATTTGGCCTTAAAAGATGTCCGTGAAGTTAGCCAACATCCAACACAACAGAATTTGCAACGTTGAACTATAGGGTAAGGATGGGGTAATTTGAACATGTGGGGCAATTTGAACATAGTGTGAATAACACAAAATTACAGAAAATCCATAAGTGGCATGACAATAAGACCAATGAGAGAAATTATCGTAACTAAAAGGGCTACCATATGAACGGGGTTTAAAGTTTCAGGGAATGAAGATGCTGACGCGCAGTGTAAAAAATCAATTTCGCAAGGATAAAGGCCTAACAACACGTCATTGCAACTTCATTGCAGCGCAAAATCTTGCATTGCTAGCGCCTGATACGCAACGGCTTTTGTTGTACAATGACCTAATCAGTGCCTTCAATCCAAGAAATTCGCTTTTGAACCCTGTTTTCAAAAATGGCAAAATAACTTTTAGCGTGGGGTAGCGTGTGAATAACTTTAGTGAATAAGCGTGCGAATAACTAGGTAATTTGAACATAGTGTGATAATTTCAATGAAGACAGGGAAAGCTCCGAAAAAAACAACGCTGCCAGTTTTTTTGCCAATATTTTCGACCCAAAGCAGTAGCAGATAAGTGATTCCAGTTTTAGAAAATTTACGTCTAATATCCGTCTAATGTCCGGCATTTTCATTGATGTTCCGTCCAAAATGTTAAAGTCAACTATTTGTCCAAATATGTCCGAAAATTATGAAGCTATCAACATTCAAAACCGTCATTTATATTGCTTATCATGTAATTTTGCCAGCCGAAAAGTGTTCATTATATTGAGAGCTTAACAAGCTTTCCATTCGCCAAATCAATGCTACTCACGATTACTTGACAAAAATGTTTGTGGCAGGCCATCGTCCAATGCTGTCCAGACTACTATACCCTTGTACAATCAATTCCGAATTGGACATTATAAAGAATCGGATTTCCGAATGTCCAGGTTCCGATTGGCACCACTATAACAGATTAAGTAAGGTTTGGTAGAGTTTTTATTGAGTGAAGATGATAGACGTTCTGTTAATTGAAGAGAGGCGAATTGTCAACTGAACGGTGTGCAGCGTGCAGATATTGATACCCTGCAACTGTTATTTTTGTTGTTGTTTATTTTTCAAATGAAGGCATGTTGAGAATTGCTCTGCCTATTTATGGGTCAAACAACATCGGTGCTGGCGAGACTATCGTTTTTATAGCAGGTAAAGGCAGTATGTTCAAATTACCCCACGGTGGGGTAATTTGAACACACCGTTCAAACTTTAAATTAAGTACATGTTTTTAGTTGTTCGTGATGAGATCTTTCGATTGGCGTTTGAATTTTCCAAATCGGACCATTAGTTCGGGAGATAACAGGGGGGTAAAATTTACCCAACCCCAGCCCCGCGCGTTCGGCTGGAGACCCCAGCCCCGCGCGGGTTAAATAAAGAATTGGAAAGATGACCCACCTGTATTTAGGGCCTTCTTTCATATGGGACCATTTGCAACGCTGTGCAATGCACCAAACTGAAGGGGATAATCCCTATAGTCCACAGACTGGGGTTGGGCCGAGATACCCCCGTGGGGGGGGGGGGGGTATTCCCATGTCATTCCCATTCCCATGTCAAAGTGGCTTAACCCGCGCCGTGCTGGGGGGGGGGGGGGGCGTTTTCAAGCTCTCTCAGGTTTTTTCGGGAATATCTCGTTTTGCGCCGCCGTTTTTGGTACGCCTGTTCAGTGTTCATGCATCTTTACCACACATGTGAAATTGTGAAAATTTCAGACCATAGTCGTTCAAGGTCAGGGTACCACGTCACCTCAAGTATCTTACCTCAGAAAAACTTCCAAGGTTCGCTGTAATGACCCTGGCCGATTGCAATTTTACGTTTAGTTTACAATTCTACCTTTAAGTCCCTTTTCTGCACCTTGACATAAAAACTGGCATTACTGCCAGAGGCGCGCTCATTGACGGTGGGAGCCAGCGGGGTGGGGCGGCCGCGCTGGGATGGGCCGGCACACTCTGGCTCTCCGTAGCCGGGGATGCGCCGTAACGTGTGCCGACCCATAATGCGGCCGGCTCGGCTCGGCGGCTCTGATGTTGACGTGCCGCCGTGGCCGAGTGCTGCCGGGACGGGCGGCCACACAGCCTTTGTAGTTGTCGGCTCCATTATGGGCGCCGGCTGCAGCGGGCGGACGAGTGACGGGTGTCGTGTGTTGCAGCGCCTGGCGGCTCGCTGCTCCAGGAGGCCGACGAGGGCAAACCGTACCGCACCGAGCTCTGCGTGTTCGAGTCGGACAGCGAGCTGGCGGCGCTCACCAAGTGGGCACAGGTTAGTCGGCTGCGCCCGCCTCTCGACACTGGCGCACTTCCCAGCTTAAACCTAGCTGTTGCATAATGCATATGTAGTACGAGACTCGTATGTACAGTCTTTCTCAACCCGCACCCCGTTGGGGTCTGCCGAGCAACTGCTGGGGGGGGGGCAATTTGCCCCCCCCCCCCTCCCTAAGATCTCGAGAACCACGCAACATAGCGACAAGCGGCAAACGGTGTTGGATATCCCCAACAGGGAATGTTCGTCAAACACATATTTTGCTATTTGAGGTCACTGATACCAGGTCAGGTCAGAGGTCAGGTCACTGAGGGTCACAATATGAAAATATCATGTGAATTCAGGGCTGCGGAGTCGATGAATTTTCGGCGACTCCGACTCCGACTCCGACTCCGCAGCCCTGCATGTGATGCATGTTTTATGGTCCATTTTATATGCCAAATACGATTATGTGGGTCAGGCAGCCTTTGAGGTCAGTTTAGATTATGTTCTGGTAAAGGTCAGGTGAAATTAGATCAAATTTCAAAGTTGATATTTTGCATAAAATGGGTATCGATTCGATGCAGCTCATAACGGGGAGTTCAATGGTGGTCTTTGTTTTGCGCTACGTGGTCTAGAATTGCTAAAAATTGAGTTAAAAATTTGACGTCATTAATTTTGAAGTTTTTTTTTTGCTATAACTTGCCAAAAAGGAGGTATCAATCTAAAATTTGGTATGTATATAGAAGAGTGCAGCGATTATCACATTTATTCCGTTTTTTTGAAAATTCGGAAAATTTTTGGGATTTTTTTTTGTGTTTTTCTAAAAAAAAATCATTTTTTAATTTTTGGGGGTCAAAATCCCGAAATTTTAAATATCCGAGATAAAGTTTTGTAGCGCCGCCTTTTGTCTACATAACCATTTAAAGAACTTTGAAATTGTTTGGTAGCTGTAGCTTTTGTGAGCGCTTCAAGATTTCATGTTTTTTTGCTCGAAAATGACCTCAGTTTGACCTCAATAACTCCTGACCTAAGGTGACCTAAGACTTGAAATTTTGTGTGGAGGTGTCAAATTGATGCCCGGGACGGTACTGAAAATTTGGCGGCACTGCGCGCCGCCGTTTTCTTGCTATTTAGGAAACACCACGGGGGGGGGGCAAATTACCCTCCCCCCAGCGGGGCGAGGGTTAAAAGTACCGCGCAAAGTAACGGTGGATCCATCAAGCCTGACCGAGGAATGGCCTGCTATAATTTGAAAGTCACTGAACCAATTGACCTGGGGAATGGACGAGGATGTCAATTGCTTCGGTGACTCAAGTCAAATTTAGCAGGTCCTTCCTCGGTCAGGCTTGACGGATCCACCGTTACTTTGTGCGGTACTTTTAAGACAGACTGTACACTGCATATGGATGTAGTTGCTGCTATGTAGCTGGGTGATGTGTGTTGGGACCCCGTTAGCTAGTGTTGTGTTTGACTGGCGTCTGACGGGCGCCGCTGCCGGCCGCTGCAGCGCTCCGTGTCCTGGGTGAACTAGTAGTGCAGCGAAACAGGGCCGCTGGGCCGCGCCACTAGCCGCTAACAGTATTATACATTCACCTCTGTTCTTATAAAATATTTTTTTCCTTTACTCTCATATATACCATGCGGACAGCACTATCAGCCCTCTCTTATTTTGCCTGTACGCGAGGTATGCGACATGTCTGGTCACGTTTGCTGTTCCCCTCGGCTTAAGGTCTTCACCAAGCTGATTCGACGCTACAAGTACCTAGAGAAAATGTTCAAGGAGGAGATCGGCAAGATCATCTCGTTCATGCACGGCTTCAGCGAGCAGAACCGGACGCGCCTGTCGCGCATGATGGTACTGTGGATATCTGATGGCCACCTGCCGCCCAGCGTGCTCCAACTGATGCTCAAGGTGAGCTGATACACACTACCACGCTCGGTTTTCAAATAGTTCATTTATTTTTGACCCGTGGGTATTGCGTTGGTCTGTGTCGATTTGGCTGGTATCCATTTCGTTCGATTGCTTTTTGACGGCCAAGCATTTTGTAATAAAAAAGATACATCGCATCGAGGTGCCCGTGTCGTATTATCATGCGTTCTACTACTTTAGAATGATTCGAAAACTGGCGTGAAGTCTTTTGAGGGCCATCGATGAATTTTGCTAAAAATGACGGTGCAATGGTTTGGAACATTTACATTTTTAAGAATACTGTTGCTCATCATGCAAAAATGAAGACTGAACCTTGGACAGAATTGAATGCTCTTTCCAATGGTGTCATTTTTATTTGCCAGATGTATCAGATCATGGAGCAAAACCATTTTGAGGAACAAAGTGGCACAAAATTGACAAACGCCATTTTCTCCCGTGATTTGTACCACCTTGATTTGGATCAATCAGCTTTTCACAATTTTTATATGATAGGCGGTACATTTCTCTTGCCAATAGGCGTTGTTCCAACTCGCTCTGTTTAACGGTCACCTAAAAATAAAATCAATTCCAAAATCCGCCAAAAACCACAATTTTTCAACAAAAGTGCCCTCCCCGGTGCACGTGGCGCGTGCCATCCCCTGCACCGCACACCATTCGATAGCCCGTTCAATTATCTACACGATGCTGTTTTCCTCGTGCCGATCGGACCCCTGGTCACCAAGATATTGCACGGGGACTGGACCCTTGTCGGCCAAAATTAGCCGTTTTCGCCCGATTTCGCACGCCGATTTATACATGTAAAGTCTATGGCGCGAATTTGCACTTTTTGGGCACGCGCCACGCGCTCCCTATCGACCCGATCGAGCTGAGACCCCTCAAAGGCACGTGGCGCATCCTTGATCTATAAGTTGTGCAAATTTCACCGCGCTAGGTGCAACGGTCTGGCCTGTAGTCCACGCAAAGCACCACCAAGTCGGGACCTCGGTAACGGACAGACGCACCCTCCTCAAATAGTAATATAGACTAGGGGATCCTGGCTTGCTTCGCGGCGCAAAAGGTTATGAAGTGATGAGGCATAAAATTTGGGATCGAATGGTGTTTGTCCCGTGTCGATCGGCTTTCTAGAAGCTAAGATAATCGCAAAATACCTTTTCGACTTGCAAAAGTACTTGGTACTTGCTTGGTATTGGCAAAAGTACTTGGTACTTGCTTGGTATCTGGAACATGCAAAAAGTACTTGGTACTGGCTTGGTACTTGCAAAGGTACTTGGTACTTGCTTGGTACCGGGTTCGCCGGGTAGGAAAACTTGCCACTCTACTCCCCCCCATTTCCCAGTTCCCCCCCCCCGCCCCCTAGATTTGGTATCGATCGGTGTTGGTCCGGTGTGAATCGGTCGTGAATAGGCCTTGTTTGTCATTTCTTCCTGGTATTAAAAACGTCTCTGGCATGGCCGGCACTCGGCGATGACGTCACGGTCACTTCTGTCTTCATCGTCCTTGTTTGTCATTTCTGGTCTGGATTAAAAAACTCAGCTTTGTGTCATTTCTTGCTGGAATAAAAAAAAATGGACAGACACCTCGCAGTCAGATGCGCACCAACACAGGTGCTGCCATCTGCCCCGGGCGCCGTCTCCGCTCTGTGATCGGCTATATTTCTTTCGGGACGCGTAAATGGCGAAAGTTTATTGGTCTCACCGGGGCTATTGAAGACGCTCTTTGTCACGGTATCATTCGTTTTTATAAACGTGCTTTGTGTGCGCCGTATCGAAGGATAATATCGGTAGGCCGAAGGTAGAGCTTCAAATCCTACCGATAGATGGCGCAAACTACAGTTGGTAAAATCGGGGCCTGTTTTTCACGAATGGCTGGTGCATGTTTGGAGCTAAGGCAAAAGCGTGCATAGCGTAGAGTGGCCAACTATGTCACGATGATATCTAGACTGATTACATTGTCGTACGTTGGTCGTGCTCACTACAGGGCGCCGCAGAGCGTCGAACGGAGAGAGGAACTCCTCACCCGGTTAAAATATAGTCTGAGATTCTCGTTCCGAAACCCATCGAATCCTCGCCAAATAATAATTGGACAAGCGGCTGCGCCACTTGCTTTGCTGCGTGGTATGTAAAAATTGCGGCACCAGCCAATTTGCTTTCGAATGGTGTGCGTTTCAAATCGATGTGTTGGCTAGAAGCATAGATATGGACGGAAATATAAAGAGGATTTTAAAAAAGAATTGTTCTGGGGGCTTCGTTGAATGAAAGTTGGGTGATACGGGGTCAAGACGGTTCAAAGGGGTCAGCCCGGTCACTTGGGGTCAGGCCAGGTCACATAGGTAGGTCACTTCTCGTCCGATGGGATCAGCCCGGGCCACTGTTCTACTTTTGCCTCAACCACTACCCCTACCCCTACCCCTACCGCTACCCCTACCACTACCCCTACCCCTACCCCTACCCCTACCACTACCACTACTACTACCCATACTCCTACCCCTACCACTACCACTACCCCTACTACTACCCCTACTACTATCCCTACCACTACTACTACCCCTACCACTACCCCTACCCCTACTACTACTCCTACCACTACCCCTACCCCTACCCCTACTACTACTCCTACCACTACCCCTACCCCTACCCCTACCCCTACCCCTACCCCTACCTCCTACCACTACCACTACCACTACCTACCACTGGGTCATGTCAGGTCACAGAAGAATTGGATCCGGCAATAAGTATTTTAAAAAATCAGGCTTAAAAAAGTTTCTAGCCCTGCTCCTATTCGTGCCATTTCATTACGCTTAATCTTATTGGTCGGAAATGGCGCGTTGTGACAAATGTGGCGCATTGCGGCAAACGTGGCGCATTTTCACCCGGTGATTGAGCATGCATCTTTGCACCAAATTGCAACTTTAACAGACCATATTTGACAAAACTGTGCGATTTGCGGCAAAAATGACGCCCTGTGACCAATGTGACGCATTGCGGCAAACGCAGTTCATTTGTACAATCTTATCACAAACTGTACCCATTTAGCAACAATCAACACATTTTTTCGCCACCATTTATCAAAATCAATAATTTCACCATCCTTCAATGCGAGGCACCCGCCGCCGATCGGCATGCATTTAGTTTCCAAAGTTTGTCGACCCCGGCTCTCAATGAAGATCTACGAACCGATCAAAATTTCATTAGCGTTCTTCCAGCGCGCCCCACGCGCGAACCGTGCACCCCAGCGAGTCGGAACCTAGAAAAGGCGCTGACCCGCTCTGTCACCTAGAAGGTGTGCAAATTTCAACCCCCTACGGCATACCGTCTGCCGTGTAGGCGTAACAAATTGAACCCACTACACGATGTGCGGACACACAAACAGACAGACAGACGGATTCTGTTGGAATAGTAAGTTAGATGTATCAGTAAATGGATTGTGGTTACCTACAAATGATATGGATGATTCTTCATGACTCCGAGTGGAAGATATTTATAATGATGCATGGGTCTGCCGGGAAGATGAAAGATTATCAGGACGAGTGTGGTAATTAATCTTTTCACAAGGGACCTTCGGTCCAGGCGCGTAACCACGAGTCCGAAGTTACTGGAGACCACATGGAAGGCCGCGAAGACCAAATATTATATTTCAGGTGTGGGATGAGATACGTGGGGTGGATGGAAAATTGTTAAGAACAAAATCTATTTTTAAAAAGATCTTAACCCGGCACCGCCTGGGCTATTTCCGTACCCACGACAGCCGGGGGGGGGGAGGGGGTCGGATCCGACCCCCCCCCCCCTGTTATCTCGAGAACCAATGGTCGTATCGAGCCCCGCGAGGCGGCGTTCGAAAGGTCTCTACGAGTCTCTACGAGACCTTCCCAAAGCACTCTTAAGATTTTAAGATTGAGGTCAACTTTCGGGTCAAGGTCAGGTCAAAGGTCGAATTCTGGGGTTTTGCATGATTAGGGTTACGGACAGCGGAATCGATAGCTGCTGCTCGAAGCTCACCAAAAATGACCTCAAAGACCTAGTGAAGGTACCATGTGCGTATAGGGGTCATACTAAGTTCGGGTCAAGGTCAGGTCAGGTCACGAAAGGTCACGGTTTTCACTTTCTGCTACATGGGCGTGCGACACATGTTTTATGGCTTATTTTTCACACCGAATCCGATGGTAATAGTTATATGTGACCCCAAGTCACTGTGCTGGTGATAAGTGTGCATTGAAAGCACAAAAAATCGTTTATACCATACATAACTAGACGAGGGCCATGAAATAAGTCAATTTTTCAACTTTTTATTTTTGACAAAAAATGCACTTTTCTAGACGAGCTTTGTCCCAGGAATCTAGTGGTGCCATTTGTTTTTACCTGCCATGTTCAGAAGTGCCTCTAATTCACGAAAATGCTTATGACGTCACCATGCCCTGTGCATGTTGGAGCTATTTTTTTACAATTTGGGGGTCAGAATCAAGATAGGAAGTTGAAATTTGGGACATCTTATGTTCTAATAGAGCTCTATAACATATATTCCATTTTTTGGAAATTCTCAAATTTTTTAATTTTATTAGCTGTTTTCCAAAAAAATATAGATTTTTGAATTCTTAGGGGTGAAAAACGCATTTTATGGAAAATCCGAGATAGCCATTTTAAAGAACTCGTTGAGCTGCGTCTATTCATGTTCTTAATTTGCAATTTGCTTTAAACCTTGATTTTTGGCGATTTTTTTAAACATTTACCACTTTTTGACTGAAAACGCCATGTAGTTATATCACTAATAAGCAGCAAACACCGGTCTTTTGGTCGGCGTTTTGAACATTCAAAGCCTGAAGCCAAAACTACTAGAACTCACCGAAGAACTAAACCGTCACGATTTCGACGCCTGCCTCCTGGCCGAGACCTGGCTGCACCCTTCTACTCCAAATCGACCTCTCGTGATTCCCGGCTACTCTCAGCCGAGTCGACCGACCAGACGGCAGCGGCTACGGCGGGGTCGCC